TCTTAAAAATAAAAAGGTCTGGGTATGTGCCTCAATAGTTAAACATCCTTGGGGGTTCAGTTTTTGGTACCAAAAAAAAGTAAAAAATACAAAATTGATGTAAAAAGTCTTTTGTCCCCCCCAAACAAATGTGTATATATGTATATACATATATATATACATATATATATAAAAAGGGTAAAAACCTGTTACATGAGACCAATAGGAAAATCCCAACAAAAACTAATTTTTCATTAGTCTACTAACCATAGTTATTTTAAAACTACATAGAATTTAAATTCATCCATTATTACCTAAATAAAACTTGCATAAGTATGTCACCGCAAACTTTATTTTCATGAATAAAAATTAGACAAACATAGTGTGGAGATCTATATTAAGAATGAGCTTGGGGCTGGGATTGTGGCTTAGCAGTAGAGTGCTTGCCTAGCACGGGCAGGACCCAGGTTGGATCCTCAACACCATTGTGTTGTGTCCATTTACACCTAAAAAATAAATGTTAAAAAAAAAAAAAAAAAGAGCTATTGGTTGCAATGGCTCATGTCTGTAATCCCAGCGATTTGGGAGGCCACGGCAGGAGGAGCACAAGTTCAAGGCTAGCCAGCCCAGCTTCAGCAACTTAGTGAAGCCCTAAGAAACTTAGCAAGACCCTGTCTCAAGATAAGGGTTATGGGCTGGGGTTGTAGCTCAGCGGTAGAGCACTTGTCTATCATATGTGAGCCACTGGGTTCGATCCTTAGTGCCACATAAAAACAAATAAATAAAGATATTTTGTCAATCTACAACAACAACAACAAAAAAAAATGGTTAAAAATGGCTGGGGATGGTAAAGCATCCCTGGATCCAATTCCCAGTAACACCACCCCTGCTACCACCAACCACAACAAAAAAGAAGAGTGAGCCTCCTTTTATGCCACACTACCAGGGATGACCAAGGCCTTCTGTGGTCTTCACAATTTGCCTCAGGTTTCCAAAGCCTGGGGCAGAGCGGGCATTCTTCCAGAGGCCTGGGAGTCAGGAACTGTGTTTGGGAATATAGCTGGTCCTAGCTGTGTGGTCAGGCCCTTGAACAGGAAACCACCTCCTGGCTTGGGATCCTGCCCCTAAGTTTTGTGCTCACCTACAGAAGCCCGAGCACCAGCCACAGTGTTCTTGGCTGTCTGAAGAAACTGCTGCCTGCGAAGTATCTGGGGTGCTGAACTCCCGAAGAAACCTTTCCTCAGTCATTCAGGACTCCCTACCCTTCAGGTGAGCTCAGCAGCTCCAATCACCATCTCTTCAAGACACAGAATGCTCTGCCTCGTCACACTGCAATCAACCCACTTTACTCACATCAGATCCCTGTGTGGGAGGACGCACAGCCCAGACAGAGGCAGAGGCCCTCAGGGGCACCTCTGCTTTCATCAGTGCATGAGCCAGGGAAGAAATTGCAGGGCCAGTTTATCAGGGCACCAGGACCCTTTTCTTCTTGAGGAGTGACGTGGCCACACAGGTTTCCCAGTGCCATGGGCACTATTCCAGTGTCTGTGTCAAATCTGAGTTTTTTGCAGCCTCCTGTTGCCATAGTGGCACAACAGAGTTCAGCGATGACAGCTATAACCTCCCCTAGAGCCTGGTCTCCTATGGCCATGCTAAGGGCAGCCCCACAGTCCACAAGGTAACGAGGATGAATAGACCTTCAAATTGTCCAGCAATGCCTCCAGCGGGGATATCAGAGATCTCCTGGTGGACAATATGGATATTCTGGTTGCCCAACTCTCACAAGACACACACACTAGACAAGAGTCACACCACCATGGCAGTGGCCACTCTAGGGAACTCAGCTATGGCTCCCCCATGCCAGCACCACAATCCATGGAAGGGAGAAACCCACAATGAAGCTACTCCCAGCAGACATGGGAACAGTGGAAAGGGCCGCTCAGCCTCTGGCTCTCACCATTCCAGAGGCAGCACCCTCTCTGCAGTGGAGAGCAGCCAACTTCACCCAGGTCAGTGTCAGCGTAAGCTAGAGCCAAAGAAAGAGAGAGGGAGCACAGTGTCCTCACAGTTGGTTGGCCCTCATCACCTGGGCCCAAGGGAATCCTCAACCACCTGTAGTCACTGACACTCAGAATGTGGCCTCTTCTACCTTACCCGTGGAGAAGTCCACACTCATTAAAGGAGACACAGTCTCCTGGTTAGCCAGAGTACAGTGTGTTGTGTGTTCTAACCCACAGTTGAAGCTCTTTGGTTAAAGGCTGAACGTCCATTTGGAGTTCACAAGTTGCACCGTCATCCCTTTTCCACTAAGAGCATTCCAACTCTGTATGGAACCACTGCCTTCTGATGGAAACAGAACAATATCAACTCCTCTCATTTTGCATCTAGCCTCACAACCCCCAGAGCTTTCTTATTCACCTTGTTGTTTAAGAGAGTTTGGTGGGACAAAGCCTCACCTCTATTTCATGTGAGGCCAAAGGTAGTTAATAGACTCCTGGATGCTGCAGTCGGCAGAGGCAGAGACGACTCAGACCAGAGTCCCAACGCCTGGTTCAGAGCTATACACTCTCATCCCTCCAGAGTGAGCAGGCTTTGGAACTGAGGTGGCAGAGATATTTATAAAACATGACCACGCCCTTCACAGCTTACATTCAGTTGAGAAAATAAACCCTACCCTTATAAATCAGAAAGGCTGAGCACCTGATGAGCCCACATATTTATAATTAGCACATTTCCTTCAGTTAGTGCATTTTCTCAAGTATTCCAAACAAATTATTTTGCATCAAGATCTTTATATGAGGGGCTGGGGATGTGGCTCAAGCAGTAGCGTGCTCGCCTGGCATGCGTGCAGCCCGGGTTCGATTCTCAGCACCACGTACAAAGATGTTGTGTCTGCCAAAAACTAAAAAATAAATAAATATTTTTAAAAAAAGATCTTTATATGAAATACTACATTAAATCCTATAGATTTCAGTAATAATGACTTTTCAGAAGATTTTAAAAACATTTTTTATAAATGACAAGTTTCTTATATTTTTCACATGCACAAGCTTTTGATTCAGTGCAAATACTTATACATGAGTCTACTGAAGGCTTCTGTACATCTTTTCTATTCCAGGTTTCTCTCCATACCATGTTCATTTATATGTGCGTACTGAACCAAGATGACCGCAGGCATTCCCATATGCTATCCATTAATACAAGTTCTCTCCAGTGTCCACTCTCATGATTGACAGAAAGTTCACGTGCTAATGAAGTCTTTCCACATTCCTTAGTCAGGGTTACTTTCCAATGAATGTTTAACTGGAAGAAATAAAGGCTTTTTCATTTTTTTCTTTCTTCTTTTTTTTTGGGGGGGTGCAGTGGGTCGAATCCAGGGGCACATTACCACTGAGCCACATTCCCAGCCCTTTTGATTTTTTCTTTTGAAACGGGGTCTTGCTAAGTTGCTTAGGGCCTTGCTAAATTGCTGAGGCTGGCTCTAAACTAGTGATCCTCCTGCCTCAGCCTCCCAAGTCACTGGAATTATAGGCATGCCTGACTTACATATTCCCTACACAGAGAGTGTTTCTTTCCAGTGTGAGTTCTTTGATGTCTGAGAACATGACTGGATTGACTGAAGGGTTCTCCATATTCATACATATATAGGGTTCTTTGATGATTTGAAAGGAAAAGGAAAAAATGAAGGCCTTCCCATGTTGCATAAAAACAGAGGGCTTCTCTCCAATGTGAGTTCCTCCATGGTTTCAAAAGGAACTTCAAACTAAAACTTTCCACACTGCTTATAAATATAGGGTTTGTCTAGTGTGAGTGCTTGCATGGTATTAAAAGGAACTGGAACGACTAAAGGCTCTTCTGTACTGCATCCATACATAGGGTTTCTCTGAGGTATGAATTCTTTTATGCTGTTGAAGGGAACTGAGACAAGTGCATGTTTTCCCACCGTTCACAGTGTTTCTATCCAGTGTGAATTCTTTTATGAATTTTAAGGTAACTGAAGGTCCTGAATGCTTTGCCACAATATTCACATCCATATGGCCTCTCTCCAGTGTGAGTCCTTTTATGTCTGTGACAGGAACTAGAAGTAGCAAAAGCTTTCCCACAATCCTTACAGACATAGGGTTTCTCTCCACTATGAGTTCTTTTATGTCTGAGACAGGAACTAGGGTCACTGAAGGCTCTCCCACATTCCTTACATACATATGGTTTCTCTCCAGTGTGTGTTCTTTTATGTCTGCGACAGGAACTAGGGTCATTGAAGGATTTCCCACAATCCTTACATACATAAGGCTTCTCTCCGGTGTGAGTTCTTTGATGTGTAAGAATATGATTGGATTGACGAAATTCTTTCCCACATTCCTTGCACACATAGGGCTTGTCTCCGTTGTATGCTCCTTCATGAACTTCAGTGCAACAGGAAGAACTTAAGGCTTCTCCATACTCCTTGCCTACTGAGGGCTTCTCTCTAGTGTGAAATCTTTTATGATTTTGAAAGGAACTAGAAATATTAAAGGTTTTCCCACACTGTTTACACACATAAAGTTTCTGTCTACGGTGAGTTTGTTCATGTCTTCGCAAGTATTTTAAAGAAAAGAAGGCTTTTCCACATTGCTTACATACATAGGGTTTCTTTGCACCATGAGCTTGCTCATGTCTTTCAAAGTTCCTGAAACAACTGAAGCCTTTCCCACATTGCTTGCATCCATAGCGTTTTCTGCCACCACGAATCCCTTCATGGTGTGGAGGGCTACTGTGATCAGTGAAAGATTTACCACATTGCATAGATGCATATTCTTTTTCTTCATTCTGGATTTTTTCACGTATTCGAAGGGAACTAGAACGAGTTAAGATCCTCCCATGTTGCTTGTGTTCTACAATGTGGGACGTTCCATGCTTCTGATGATAACTGATGGCTTTGCCAGGATTCTGACACCTGTACTGTTTCTCTCCATGTTCCTGATACTCATATGGTTTGTGTCCAGCATGAGATCTGAGGAGCACATTATGTGATGAATCACCAATAAGGACTTCTCCACATTCATAGCTTTCACTTGGTTTTACTTTAGAAAGAGCTGCACTGTTCTCAATACAGTCTGGAGTTTGACTCAAGATTTCTTCATATCCACTACCTTCTTTACATTCACTAAGTCTCCTTAACACTTGACTTCTGGAAAAAAATGAGAAGCATATAATTAAGGTTTTAATCCTTTTTTTTTAATATATTTTTTTAGGTGTAGATGGACACAACACAATGCCTTTATTTTTATGTGGTACTGAGGATCGAACCCGGGTCCTGCATGTGCTAGGCGAGTGCTCTACTTCTGAGCCACAATCCCAGCCCCAAGGTTTTAATTCTTAATGACTTACAAAGAGAAACACTGGTTTTATGGCTTGTACGAATTTTTGAACATGAAATGATTTTATGCTCTGCAGGATGGATCAAAGACAGATATTATCAAGACAGTGTTTCTGTGTTTGTTTTGCTTTGGATACTATGGATTGAACCCAGGAGCTCTTTATCACTGAGCTACATCCCCAGACTTTTTTATTTCTTATTTTGAGACACAGTCTAAGTTGCTGAGGGCTTCACTAAATTGCTGAGGCTGCCCTCAAACTTGTGATCATCCCATCTCATTCCCCCAAGTATCTGGAATTATCACTATGCCTGGCAAAACAATGATACTATTATCAAAGTATTAATATTGTTTCCAACGACACTATTTGACAAATACTGAATATAGTATTATATGTACAATGTGATATACAATGGTATATTCAATTTAAGTACAGTTGAATACTCCTATGTGAGAGGATAGGGATCAAAAGCATTTGGATTTTGAAAATATTTTCATATATATAATGAGATAGCCTGGGTGTTAATCTAAACACAAAACTCAATTTTGTATCATAAACACCTTATTTCCAAACCCTAAATTTTTTAAATTACATGTTTTTTTTTTAAATTTTTTTTAAAAATATTTATTTCTTTTAGTTATTGGCGGACACAACATCTTTGTTTGTATGTGGTGCTGAGGATCGAACCCGGGCCGCACGCAAGCCAGGGGAGCGTGCTACCACTTGAGCCACATCCCCAGCCCCTAAATTACATTTTTGATAATTTTGTGCACTGAACAGTCTCTCTGTGTGTAGCCATCAGAAAAGTGCCACATAAGACATTATATTAGTGATCAAGATGTTTTCATTTTTGGAACACTTTGGATTTCTGATATTCTGATTAAGGTCGTTAATCTTTTCAAGTTTAGAGAAAATTTCCTTAGATCAGATCAACTTGAAGCTGGGTTTATTTGCATTGTTTGCTTGTTTTAAAAATTTCCTGTCATCCCAAAATTCTTGAGTGACATGGCTTTCTCCTTTGAGTATAGATTACCTTAGATTTCTGCTTAGATTTTTGTACACACCTTCCTTGGTCTGGTTGTCGCTTCCTTTTCCTAAAATGCAGACCCAGAAAATCAGTATGAATAATTAAACAATATAGAAAAATTACTGCATTCTAGCTAGGTTCCTGGTGTTTCGTGACCATGCTTGGTATAATCACCAAACATTCCCTTTCCATATTTCATGTATAGAGGAAACATTATGAGGAAGAAACTTTTTTTCTTGATTAAATAAATAAGGGAAATGATGTCATTCTTACCTAGAAAGGCCAGGCTCCTGAAGGTTTCCAACATCACTTCTTTGTAGAGCTTCTTCTGGGAAAGATCCAGCAAAGCCCACTCATCCAGGGTGAAGTTCACAGCCACATCCTCAAAGGTCACCGACTCCTAAATTATCCCACATATATTTCCAAGAGGAAGAGTAAGACTCAGTACCAGAGATGGGAAATCATTTCATCAAAAGCCAACATGATGCTGTGTGCCTCCACACTCACTCCATGTTTTGTCATCACCTTGAATGTCCCGTTCACACTCACATCCTCTCACAGCAGTTCTGATGCTAGTCTGGAACTGTTTACACAACAGCAGAACAGTAACACACATGGTGCTCCTGGGTCACACCAACATCTTGCTGTGCAGTAGGGTTTGTAATGCCTCTCAGAACAAAGTCTTAATGTTGAGTGCACCCAAGACAGTAAGTACCACCTGTTTTGAGACAAATCTAAGTTACGCTGGTTCTCAGATCTGCTCCTGGATGAACCTCACCAGCCTAACTGGAGAGAGGTGCTTAGGGTTTCCAAAGATTGTGCTCTTAGTTCATAACCTGTTGGTCTCCCTGAATGTTTACAATATTCTGAATGGTCATCAGCCCCCAAAATACACTCTGGATAATGAATCTCTAATGAGCTGCTCTGACAGACACAATTTAATATCACTTGTCACAACTTGTTTCTTTGGGAACGGAGCACATCCTCTCCTACTACACTAAGAGACAATATTTTCAAGCTTGCACTTTTTTTTTCACAGACCAAACTTAAACAAATACTAAATAAAATTCATGAATAGGGAAAGAGCACAATGTCACCTCTCACACATATCAAATATACAACTAAAATGACAAGTCAGAAAAGATGGGAAGCTTATACAAAAACCCAGAACAACAAAAATGTTACAAATATGGTACTTATTCATCCAAATATTATCAAATCATTTTTAATGTAAATAATCTGCATACATCACTTGGAAGACTGCGTAGAGAAAAAAGGAAGACTCAACTTTGTGTTCTCTCCAAGAAAAACTATTACATAGATAAACATAGAGAGTGGGGAAATTGGGGGAAATATTGTTCAAGATTATAAAATTTAATTAAATATGATAAATTATTTCACAACCTCTATTAAATAATGTAGTTATAGTAAGTAACATTGTATTATGCCAGCCTATAAACCCAGTGGCTCAGGAGGCTGAGGCAGATGGATATGAGTTCAAAGTCAGCCTCAGCAACTTATCAAGGCCCTAAGCAAATCAGTGAGATCCTGACCCTAAATAAAATACAAAAAAGGGCTGGGGATGTGGCTCAGTGGTTAAGTGTTCAGAGCTGCTGGGATTAAGGTGTGCCCCCACACCCAACTCACTGCTTTGTTCTGTTTTTGCAGTACTGGGGATTGAACCCGTGGCATGCTACCTTCAGCTATGTCCCCAGCCCCCCTCCCTTTTTTAAAATATTGAGACTGGCCTAGACTTGTGATCTTCTGGCTTCAGCCTCCTGAGTTGCTTGGGTTGCAGGCATGCACCAACACAGCTCCAAAGCTATTTTGTAGAAACAAGAATCTACAAATGAAACAAAAGAGAAACAGCTCAGGGAAGTAAACTGCTTCACCCACAGTTCCCAAGGAGATCTTTACTCAGGGGTCAAACACATCCCTAAGCTTACAGAACACTGTCACTTTGCAGATGCAGCCCAGGTGTTCACAGGCAGGAAGTGAGGAAGAGAAATCTGAATAGCCAGAAAACTAAATCCTGGGACCTCCACACACCTGACTTTCCACTCTTCCCACTATGGAAAGGATCCCTTGTGCACAGGCTCAATTCTAGTGAGCACTTATCCAAAGTCATTTGAAGGTTGTGATCTGTAGTATCTTTTTCTGAAATTATCTTACACTAAATCTGTGGTGTCTGCTGAACACCACCCAATTTTTCAGTACCAACTGGGTGTCAAACAATTCTTATACCACCTAGACTTAAAGTCCCTGCAAGTTCAGGCGTCAGTCCCAGCACACTGACCCTCCTGCAGATGTGAATACAAAGCAGGTGTTTGCTTTGTGTGATCAACAGTCTCTATTTTGAACTGATAGAGGGATGGTAGCCTGAGTCAACTCCTGGGCAAAAATTCAAGTACTGCCTAAAAGAGGTTGAGGATAAGCACCCAGAGATTCTCCTACTACTCACGAAATTCCAAGGGTTTTAGGTTCTCTGTGCCAAAATTATGGACAAAGACCAATTTTTAAAAAAAATTCTACCATACATCCAAATAAACAGTGGAATTCATAAACCCTAAAACACATAAAACTTATCTCCAGCAGGAAGAACTCAAAGATATCTCCCAGACCGCCTCTGTCAGAAATTATACTATGACAAGACCAACTATGTAGTTGCAAAGGTTCAATTTCATGTAATCCTAGAAATCAGTGGTGATTAACAAACTCCAGCAGCCTAGTGCAATCAACATCCTACTCATTGCACTAACCTGATGCTCCCTTTAGGTTACCTATGACAAAGGTGACCACACAGATTCCAAATTCCCACTTTTTGCCTCAAAAATGATCAGCTCAAGTGATCAGTAAAAATCAGCAAACTTTCCCTAAAATTTCTCATTCCTCCAGGCCTGAAATCTTTGACCAACCATAAACCTGACCCAGCACAAAATCTCTCCTTTATAATCACCCAAAGAACAGGGGAACCTGAGGGGAAAAGGTTGCTTCTAGAAGCAACCCTCCACCCTCCCTTCCTCGCCCACCTGGTTTCTACTCCCACAGGCTTCTCAAGGTTCTTTTCTTCCTAACCCTTAAGACGCTTACAATCTTACAGTTGGTTTCCCCTACTGCAAACTCCTTTCAAATGAAGTCATGTCCCACTGTAACAAGGGGAGTAGTGTCAGGTGGATTCTGTGTCTCCTGAGTTCAAAGAATGAAATCCACAGACAAGCGGAGAGTAGCAAGATTCATGTAAAGCAAAAAAGGCTGGCCTGTCTTCTAGGGGTTTTTATGGGTTTGATCGGTCCCTATAGGAACCTGGTGGGATGGCATGTAAATATAGGATTTAGAGAGGGGGGCAATCATTTCTATTTTGTCTTCTTTGGACAAAACTGGGGAGAGTAGTTTTCAAGCCTTTCTTAACATAAGGAGGGCTGGGGTTTGTTGCCTCAGGTGCTTCAGAGATTGTGCGGCTGATGGCTAAGGGTAGTTAAGGCGCTGTCCCCGAGGCCAGGACGAGCTGGGGTCAGCAGCTTGATTTCCCAGTCCCCTCCTCCTCCTCCTCCTCCTCCCGTCCCCGGACCTCTCCCAGCTGCCTGTGGACGGACTAACTTTATGTCAACTTCAGTCAACGTTTCCTTTTTAAAAACAACGTCTGGAACCGTCTATAACAATGACACGGGAGGGCACTCCCCTCCCAGCCAGTCCGCGGGACGCCCTCGCCACCGAGCTTAGAACGTGGGGAGTCCCAGGAGACGAGGGGGTCCCCGCCGGGTCCCCGCCCCCCGCCGTCACCGCACAGCCTGGGGAGACGCGCCTGCGCCGGGCAGAGGGCTCAGGACCAGGTAAAGGCGCCGCGCAGGTCCCCGCGGCCGGACCCGCCCCGAGGGACAGAAGGGACCAGCGGACCGAGGGCCGAGCGCGGTGCCAGGTGGAGAGGGTTTCGCTGGACCCCCGTCACAGCCAGGCCCTGTGCCCACGTCCGGGACGCCTGGGCCCCGCACACTCACCATCTCCCTGCTTCTGGGTGTCCTGCTGTCCGCCTCACGGCTGCCGAAGTCAAAGGAGGTCACAAGGCCAAACAGGAAGAGCAACCTCGGGAGCCCACAGGGTCCCAAAGATGGCGGAGCCAGAACGGAAGGTCCAGCGGTTCGGAGCGGACCCGCCTCCCGCCGGCGCTCCTGATTGGACCGCTCTGCAGCCCCGCCCCGCCCCCCGGTTGGCTGTCCGTCAAAGACCCGCCCTGAATGCGCCGCCTGAACCGAGCGGAGATCCCCTTCGCTCTCTGCTTGGAACCTCTGTGAGTTCCAACCAGAGCTCTCCCCAGGCCACACTGCTCCCAGGCCTGGACCAGCAGCAGCCCGAAGACGGTGCACAGAAGCACAACTTGCTCCTGGCTTTCCACGGCGGCTCTGGCTGCTTCTTCAGTGGGCCCTTCTTGTTCCTCCTGGAAATGGGGCCACAGGTGTGCTCAGGGGATTCCAAACTCAGTGTCCCATGCAGACAACCCTGTTCTCAAGAAGGAGGGGTGCCTAGGACAGGCCAGGACAGGCCTCACTGGAACCGAAGGAAGGGCCTGTTGTCACACGAGAGGACCCTGGAATAAGACAACTGACTTCATGGTCAAGGCTTTCTCACTCTATAATAAGATGCCAATAAGAGAATAGCATCATTAAACGGGAGGGAGGCGGGTGAGGAGTGTCCTGGAACCATATGGCAGCAATATTCTACGAAGAAATCAAGATAGAAGTGAAGGAAACATTTGGAGTGCCTCAGGCAAGAACACTGCTTTGTCTGGGGTCACAAGGAGAACCTGAACTCATAAGTTAAACATATCCCCATATTTCAGGGCCATAATGGAACACCACTTGGTGTTGAGGAAGGTACACCTAAGGATTAAACTCTGGGAGTTTAATGCCCTGATATCTCCTATTGCCAGTATGGAAACCCTTGTACTTCAACACCTTGATATTCACCAGACAGGAGCTATCACCTGGTGCCAGCAAGATGTCAAATTCATAAACTCTGTCTCCAGGAGACTGCCTAAATGAGTCTTTCTCTAAGCCTGACTTGCACAGATTTTACTTATATGTAGAAATTACAGGTTGAGTACAGCAATCCTCTATAGCATCCCAAAACCAAAACATTCTTCATAAAACAGCTGCCTAACAATCAAACTTACCAACCTCTAAAAGTGTAAGGGTAAAAGAAATTGAAGTTAAAGTGTAAAAGACCGGGCATTGTAAAGTTTCTAAGCTGCAAGGCCTGAGTTAAAATGTAAAGGACCAGGTATTGTTAAGTTCCTATGCTACACGCAAAACCTGAAATTCCTGTAGCTGTTAAGACAATACTTGGAACCGCCCAGTAAATATTTCCCCTGATGGCCTGGTTGTTTGATAACCTAGGACCCTGTATGACTTTGCACGTAGACATTGCAGGGCCTAAACCAATCAGTTTGAATGTACCTCCCCCCTTAGAACTGACCTATCACTCCCAACCGACCTGTTCCTGCCAATGAATGAACTAATCATGTTTAGGAGTTGTTGTTTGATTTTCCCGTGGTGTATGATGATTTGTTAAAGGAGACTGTGATGTATGTGAAGTCCCCGCCCTCCCCAAAAAGTGTACTTAAGCAGTGCTCAGCCCCTGCTCGGGGCTCTGGGCTGCTCTCCCTTCTTGAGTGAGCATGGATCCCCAGCGTGCTGGATTGGATCCTCAATAAACCCCTTTTGCTGTTGCATGAGCCGCGGTCTCTTGGTGGTCTCTTCCTCCGACGTTGGCCGGACCCTTACAAAAGGACAGTATCCCCAAATTCATCTGCATGTGAGTCTCCTGCTTTCCATTGCTCTGAAGCTGCTCACTGTTGACACTAATTCTGCAGCTGTTCTAGTTATTGGGTGGTACTGAGAAACTGATGTGACTCCACTTTTGAGAAACCAGCCTCTCTACCTCAGAGCAAAGCCTGTCCAAGGAAGGGGGTATGACCTTTGTCCTTGGAAAAATCCACAGAGCACTCCTAGGCATATACTCACCCTGCTGAATTGTTTATCTACAAATATTAAGAGAGATTTATGGGTGTCGATTGTATTTGCTGCTAACTTTGCTAAATTCATTTATTGGTTCTAAAAGTTTTCTGGTGGAATTATTTGGATCTTCTAGATGTAGAATCATGTCATCAGCAAATAGTGATAGTTTGAATTCTTCTTTACCTATTTGTATCCCTTTAATTTCTTTCTTTTGTCTAATTGCTCTGGCTAGAGTTTCAAGGATGGGGGATAGGGCTGTGGCTCAGCAGTAGCACACTTACCTAGCATGTGTGAGGCACTGGGTTCAATTCTCAGCACCACATATCAACAACTAAAAATTTAAAATTAAAATTTTTAAAAAGGATGATGTTGAATAGAAATGGTGAAAGAGGACATCCTTGTCTTGTTCCAGTTTTTAGAGAGAATGCTTTCAATTTTTCTCCATTTAAAATGATGATGGCCTTGGGTTTAACATATAGCTTTTATCATATTGAGGTATGTTCATACTATCCCTAGTTTTTCTAGGGATGTTTTGAACATGAATGTGTGCTGTATTTTGTCAAATGCTTTTTCTGAATTCATTGCAATGATCATATGATTCTTAGGTCTATTAATATGATGAAGTACATTTATTGATCTCCATATGTTGAGCCAAGCCTGCATCCCGGGGATGAAGCCCACCTTGATTGTGGTGCACTATCTTTTAATATGTTTTTGTATGCAATTTGCCAGAATTTTATTGAGAATTTTTGCATCTATGTTCATCAGGGATACTGGTCTGAAGTTTTCATTCCTCCATCTGTCTTTGTCTAGTTTTGGTATCAGGGTGATATTAGCCTCATAGAATAAGTTTGGAAGGGTTCCCTCCTTTTCTATTTCATGGAATACTTTGAGGACTATTGGTGTTAATTCTTTTTTTTTTTTTTTTTAAGAATTTTTTTTAATATTTATTTTTTAGTTTTCGGAGGACACAACATCTTTGTTTGTATGTGGTGCTGAGGATCGAACCCGGGCCGCACGCATGCCAAGCGAGCGCGCTACCGCTTGAGCCACATCCCCAGCCCTGGTGTTAATTCTTTGAAAGTAAGTAGAACTTGGCTGAGAATCCATCTAGTCCTGGGTTTTTCTTGGTTGGTAGGATTTTCATGGCATTTTCTATTTCAGTGAATTAAGAAAAGGGGAACAGACAGGGAATAGATATTAGAAGTTCTAGGTGGAAATATATTTCCTAGAAGGAAAAAGAAAAAAAATGTTTCTGTGTAAGAAAGAATCTGTATGATGAAAAAACCACAAGAGGGCCTGATTAAGTGACAGGAGGTGTATGTAACTAAAGCGCAATTTCAACAAGTTTATGTGTAAATATGTTATAGATTGATGGATGGATGGATAGACAGACAGACAGACAAACTTGCTGGATGTTTACAATCAAGGTTTAAAAATTAAGGCTAGGAATAAAAGGTACAAAAGCACCAATATTCAGCTCTTGTCCTCTGAGTCAGCCTGAACATAGGCAACAAGGGGACTTCTCTAAGGGCTTTGCAAATCTGGGCTACATGACCTCCCAATCAGGGAGATAACGAGACCACTGGAGAACAGAAAGCTGATTAGTGCACACATACTGCAAAAGAGGAGGGTCATTGGAAAATGGAGACATCCCAGATGCCTCCAAGAAAAGCCACCTCATCAAGGAGACCCTGACCCATCCTAGCACATGGCACTAAAAGAGCTATGAAGCTGCTCTCAAGTTCCCCAAGAGTGACCCCTATGGGAACTCAGCTGACTCTTAACAACAGAGAGAAACCTAGAAAAACAGTTATAACCAACATACAGTCATATCTGGGCATTGAAAAAGAAATACAATGGTTCTTTAATGGAACTTAAGAACTACACTTGTGTCAACCCTGATGCCCCCCAAATTATTTTTTTCCTTTCTGAGGCCCCCTATTTGCCCCTGCTTACCAAAATTAAACTGGCATCTGTACCTTAATCTTCCTTACTCCTCAGACTGACATTTTCCCCAAGAACCAAAGCCTACCATTCTGATAACAGCACACACCAGATGTAGGAGAACCCCACAAAGCTATTTGCTTACTCATAGGGCTAAGAACATCCACGGGGATTGGCACAGGAGGAACGGGATTAGAAACCTCTATTCACTATAAAAATAGCACAGGGCATTGCAGATATGGAACAGGACACCAATTTTGTACTGACTTTACAAAATCAAATGACTCCTGGCATCTGTTGTCCTACAAAACTGATCATGAACGAATGCTGTTTCTATGGAAACCAATCATGGGTGGTAAGAGACAGGGTTAGCATGGCTCCAGAACAGCCTGGAATACGGAGGGAGGGCAGGTTTGACTCAGGAGCCTTCCCAGATTGGAATGGTAATTTTTAATATAATCAATTTGAAAATGTTACCCATCTTAATATTTATTTTCATAAAGCATTCAGTCTCACAGCGTAAGTATTAGATACCTATGTTTTATTGTCTAGACCTATTTAAGTACAAAATAATGCCTCACAAAACATACATGTTAAATGTGACAACTGTATGTTATAATATTTCAATTGGACTATATTGCACAGTCCATGATAAACTGTTATGATTCCCCAAAGGCCATGAGCCACCTGGATCCCTGGACAAGTGCTAAACAATAGCTTGGCCAATAGCTTGCACTGTTATCTTGGCTGGGATAATTGTTTCTGCCATATACCTTCCACAATTTCTAAAGAAATTTACTGAGAACAACCACAGATGACATTTCTCTCAATTCTGCAAGGTCATTGGCTAGGGTTTGTCCAAACAAGTGAAGGCTACCTTTAAATCCCTGAGGCAACACTGTCCAGGTTAATGGAGATCCACTATCTGGTTCCTCGAAGGCAAACAAATATTGTGATTTAGAATCTGGAGGTATACAGAAAACGGCATCCTTTAAATCTAATACAGTAAAAAAGCAGCAAGCAGCTGGGATCTCAGATAACAGAGGGCATGTGTTAGCAACTACAGGGTGGAGGGGAATGTCAGCTTCATTAATCATCCTAAGGCCCTGGACCAGGCACCATTCCCTATTTGGCTTCTGTATTGCATGGGCTGTTGCAGGGCAATAATAGTCCCTGATCTTTGAGGTTCTGAATGATCTCTCATAAGTCCCTTTCTGCCTCTGGGTCCCAGGGGGTATTGTCTTTTATGCAGAAAGACAGAGGGATCCTTTAAAAACATTTTAATTGGTCCTGAACATTTTGCCCATCCAACCTTGACTTCACTGTCCCTACTTGAAGGTTTATGTGGCATTCTAATAGATGTAAATGTCCTAAATTCATCTTGATGGGAGCCTGGAGTCTTAAAATTAAATCTCTCCTTAATACAGAGGTAGGGCACTCTGGGACTATCCACACTGCATGAGAAAACATCACCCTAACCCACTCACCGCTCAGAGGGTGAGTAAGAATAGTAAGAATAGTGTTAGGAGAATAAGATAAATGTATCCATAATAATGGACCTTCTTGCCAAAATACTCCTGTAGGAATATTTTTTTGTTGGTAGTACAATAAATAATAAAGGCAAACTTATATCAATTCTATCCAAATGCATATTTTCCATATATGTTTCAATGATTTTTAATGCCTTTCTCGCTTCAGGCGTTAACATTCGGGGTGAATTTGGATCTGATGGACCTTTTAGGATATCAAATAAAGGTCCCAACTCTCCTGTTGGTATACCTAGATAAGGCCTTATCCAATTTATGTCTCCTAATAACTTTTGAAAGTCATTAAGTGATTTGAGTTGATCTACTCCTATTTGAATTTTTGGTGGACGGACCATGGTTGAGGATAATAGAACTCCTAAATAATTAATTGGAAAATTTAATTGTACTTTATCTATTGCTATCTCTAGATTATAATTTTTTAATAAATTTGTAAGTGTGGCATAACATTCTAGCAATGTGTTTTTATCTTTGTGTGCCAATAATACATCATCCATATAGTGAAATATTTGTAGTTCAGGATTTTGATTTCTAAGTGGCATTGGGCCCCCCTGTCCATTTTTTGGCAATGGAGCCCGATGCCTTTCTCCACGATATCGTGGATAAACACCTGGTCCTTGTTCATTTTTTGATAATGGAGTACCCTCTATGGTGGTTTGAGAATGGCATTCATTAGCCCAATGTCTCCCTCTAAGGCATCGTGGGCAAGTACCCGGTATTCTACTCCTTTGATATCTAGTTTTGTTAAACCCTCCTCCTATGGGGCAATTCCTTTTAAAATGTCCTGTTTGTTCACAATTGTAGCATGTTCTTGGCCTGGCATCTAAAGCCTGTTTTACTGCAGCTGCCACAATTTGCCCTTGTTCATTAATGTCTCTGGCATCTAAAACCTGTTGTACTACAGCTGCCACAACTTGCCCTTGTTCGTTAATGTCTCTAAATAATTTAATATATGTGTTTAAATCTTCATGTTTCCATGGTCTAATGACTTCTCTGCACGAATGATTCGCTTGCTCATAAGCCACTTGTTTTATTAATGGCATTGCTTGTTCTGTATTCCCAAAAACTCTGGTAGCTGTTTGAATAAGCCTATCTACAAATTCAGCGAAAAGTTCATTAGCTCCTTGTATTACCTTAGATAATTGACCTTGTAAACCTCCATGTCCTTGTAAAGTCTTCCATGCCCTAACCGCATCTACAGCAATTTGTATGTATACGCCAGGATCATATGCAATTTGTTGCTGCTGATCCTCATAAGGTCCCTTTCCTAACAACATATCTAGATTTCTCTGAGGATAACCAGCTGCTGCATTTCACCTAGCCGACTCCTTGCAAAATTCCTCATTGGCAACCTTCCATAACAGGTATTGTCCTCCATTTAGCACAGCTTTACACATATTAGCCCAATCTGCTGGCATCATGTTCAAGTTGGTAATGGATTCGACCATGCTTACAGTGAAGGATGCTTGAGGACAATAGGTTGTTACAGCCTTTTTTAGCTGCTTCACTGTTTTGAAATTTAAAGCATGGTGAATTCGCTGCCTTCCTGCCTGCTCAAATACAGGGCATGTTAATATTTGAGATCCTGTCTCAGGATCCCAATTATCAACTGCGGGGGTTGGGAGCTTCCCAGCATATGGAGGTGGCGCTGTTGGTTGGACACTTACGTCCTCTGGTGATAGAAAGGTGTTAGTAGCAGTCTCCTGTTGTAACTTTTCCCCTGATGGCTTTTTCTGCTCTAAACTTTCTTCCTCTGTCTGACTAGCTCGAGAGACCTTCTCTTTTACTTGAATCAATATGTCTTCTCCTTCCTCTACCATTGTCTGAACTGAAGGCTTTGGACTAAGCAAACAAGATACAAACATCCACAATGGCAATGTGCCAACTGGCAGAGTCCCTGGGCTTTTCTTTTCTATTCTTTTTAAATCTTCACCATGATGGTTCCATTGTGATATATTTAACAACTCCTCCTTAAAAAGCCATGGGTGGGCTGGGGATGTGGCTCAAGTGGTAGTGCGCTCGCCTGTCATGCGTGTGGCCCGGGTTTGATCCTCAGCACCACATACAAACAGAGATGTTGTGTCCGCTAATAACTAACTAAATAAATAAATATTAAAAAAAAAAAAAGCCATGGGCTACATTTTTGTATTGTATCAACGTATGCCCTAACTGTTCTTGATTTTACTGAGATGCCTCCTTCCTCTAACAATTTACTTAACACTCTTTCGGTTTGTTTTTTACTAATTTCTGATCCCATATTTCTACTATAATACAACCCAACAAGATAACACCAAACAAAACCGAGACAGAATGAAATAAAAATGGAACGACATGAAATCATTATAGCCTTTCTATCCTCCTGAAATGTCCATCCGTCCTTTCTCCCTATCTGTTCCTCAGACGCAAATAGTTTTTCCTCAGATGTGAGCAGTTTTTCTTCCATCTCACTCATCTCCAGGGACAGGCAACTTAAAACAAAAGCGAAACAAAACAAAAGAAGAATCTTAAAATGGCTACCCCCATCCTCTCGCCCTGCCCTCAGGGGCGTGCAGTTTACCTTATCACTTACCCTCAGTCGTTCCCCGTGCAGCCCACCAAATGCCGCAGTCTGGCTGGGCACAATTCAGGAGCCACATGTCAAAAGAAACGAACTTTATTTTTAGAACACACACACCTAACCACACAGCTCCTCAGGAAAAACCCTCAGAGCCCAACTGCCACCACCGGCTTCCCACAAGCCTCTGCACCTCCCCCACTCCTCCTGCTCTTGAGGCCGATTGGCTGGGTCACGTGGGCGGAGCCAAAAATCCCCCAATGAGCAGCTCCGTGGTCTGAAAGGGCGGGGAAACAGCCCAATGAGCATCACCGCAGAGGAGCCAATCAGTTGGCAGCTAGAAGTTTGCTGGGGCCGCTGTGAGCCAATCATCAGCTGGCAGCTGGAAGTTTGCTGGGGCCCCTTCGGCTGTGGCTCTCAACAACACTGAGTAATATTCCACATTGTGTGTATGTATGTATACGTATGTATGTATGTATATGTGTGTGTGTGTGCATATATATATATATATATATATATCAGTTTCTTTTTTTTTTAAAGAGAGAGTGAGAGAGAGAGAATTTTAATATTTATTTTTTAGTTATTGGCGGATACAACATCTTTGTTTTGTATGTGGTGCTGAGGATCAAACCCAGGCTGCACGCATGCCAGGCGAGCGCGCTACCGCTTGAGTCACATCCCCAGCCCGATATCTCAGTTTCTTTATCCACTCATCTATCGATGGGTATTGAGGTTGTTTCCAAAATTTAGGTATTGTAAACTGAGCTACTACAAACATCAGTGTAGCCACATCACTACAGTATGATGATTTTAGGTCCTTTGGGTATAGACCAAAGAGTGGTATAGCTGGGTCAAATGGTGGTTCCTTTCCAAGTTTTCTGAAGAATCTCCACTCTGCTTTCCAAAGTGGTTGCACCAATTTGCAATCCCACCAGCAATGTATGAGTATACCTTTCTCCCCACATCCATGCTAACACTTATTATTGCTTGTATTCATTTTTTAAAAAAAAAAAATATGTATTTTTTAGTTGTAGTTGGATATGATACCTTTATTTTATTTATTTTTATGTGGTGCTGAGGATCAAACCCAGGGCTTCACACATGCTAGGCAAGTACTCTACTGCTGAGCCATAACCCCAACCCCATTGCTTGTATTCTTAACAACTGCCATTCTGACTGAAGTAAGATGAAATCTTAGTTTTAATTTGCACTTCACTAATTACTAGAAATGCTTAACATTTTTTCATATATTTGTTGATCACTTGTATATAGTCTGAGAAGTGTCTATTCAGTTCCTTAGCCCATTTATTGATTGAGTTGTATTTTTTGTTGTTAAATTTTTTGAGTTCTTTATAGATCCAGGAGATTAGTGCTCTATCTGATGTGCATGTGATAAAGATATTCTTGTACTCTGTAGCCTCCCACTTCTCATCAATGACTGTTTCTTTTGCTAAGAGGAAGCTTTTTTTTTTTTTTTTGCTTGAATCAATCCCATTTATTCTTAATTTATCTTTAAACTGAGAACACAAAAAATTTATTTTGAAAGTTAATAGTTATAGATTTCTTCTCACCCTGATTTCCGTAAAATATATCCAATTTATCTTTAAGCAAATAAATGCCTTTGGCTTAAAAAGATCAGATACATAGGAATGTGAGAAAAAGTAGCATATAAATATTTCAGAAAAAAGGTAATTTATTGCCAGTCTCTGGTTTCTTCTAAGTTGCTTAGGACCTCTCTAAATTGATGAGGTTGAATTTGAAATTGCAAACCTCCTACCTCAGCCTCCCAAGTCACTGGGATACAGACATTCACAGGGTTTTTCATTCACTGTGATTTCTTACATACGAACCAAAGAGAGATTGTTGCACAGGTCTTCCTTCTATTGCAGGTCCACCACATACTGTGCTCATTTACATGGGCACACTGAACCAAGATGGCAACAAGGGTCAAAACTTCCAATGCAAAAATACAAGTTATTGCAGCTGCTTATTAGGTTTGCTCACAAGTTCATGTGATAATAAAGACTTCCCATTTCTTCTGTTGATACAGGGTTACTCTCCATGTAGTGTTTTATGTACTTGAAAGAATCTTAAAATTAAGGTTATCCCACATTGCTGACATCATTAAGGTTCCTCCTCGCTATGATCTTTTTCATAGTATCAAAGGGAACTGTGAACAGGAACACTTTCTCACATGGCTTACACTCATGGGTTTCTCTCAAGTGTAAGTTCCTTGAATTTTGAGAAGGTACCTGGATGGAGTGAAGGCTTCTTTGCACTCTTTACACACACAGGGTTTCTCTTCAGTGTGCATTCTTCCATGTATTTTAAGGATGGAGGAATGACTGAAGGCTTTCCCGCACTGCTCACATGCATGTTTCATGGCACTGTGAAATCTCTGATGTTGTCTGAGGGGACTGGAATCACCATAGGCTTTGCCACATTGCATACATACATAGGATTTTTCTCCAGTGTGATTTATTTCATGTCTTTTGACTAAATTTGAATGAAGAAAAGCTTTACCAGATTGTGTACATGTATAGGGTTTCTCTTCACTCTGAAAGTCTTCATATGGTAGATGAACTGAAGCCTTTTCCACATTGCTAACATACACAACATTTCTCTCATTGTGCATTATTTCATGTATTTGAAGGGATCTGGGAAAATAAAAAGCTTTCCTACATTATTTACATGTATAAGGTTTCTCTTCACTGTGAATGTTTTCATGTGCTTAAACCCTTTCCCACATTGGTTACATATATAGGGTTTTTCTCCGGTGTTTTTGAGGTTTTTCATGTTTTATGATTGAACTGTAAAAACTGAAAGCTTTCCCACATTGCTTACATATACAGGGTTTCTCTCCACTGTGAATTCGTTTATATATTCTAATAGAGCTGGAAGTTCCAATAGAGCTAGAAGTTTCTTGCATACATAGGGTTTTTCTCCATTGAGCATTATTTCATGTATTTGAAGGGTTCTGGGGAATTGAAAAGCTTTCCTACATTGCTTACTGCTGAGAGCCATGGCCGAGTCTGTATGGCCCCTGGCATTTTGCCAACAGTATTGATTGACAGGCGAGGCATTACTATCCGCCTCTGCCACAACTTTTGAGTTCTCGCACTATTTTGGAGTTCTCGTGGGGATTTCCTTAATGCAGTTTTACAAGCTTTTGTGATGTTTAAAGATTCTGTATTTAATTTATTCTCTGATAGTCAGTATGTAGTTAATGCTATAGTATCCCTTGAAGATGCTGGCAGGATTTCCCTTTCCTCTACTGTTTTCTCTTTGTTTTCTGCTATACAAAGTCTAATCTGGGACAGAAAAGATCCATTCTTTATAGGACATATCAGAGCACATACAGGATTGCCTAGAGCCCTTAGTTTGGGCAACGATTTAGCAGATAAAACTACACATGACATACATATTTTCTCTACACTAGAAGAACCTACACATTTTCATAAAAGGTTCCATGTCAATGCTAATACTTTACAAAAGCGTTTTAAAATAACTAAGGAACAAGCTAGACAAATAATAAAACAATGTCAAAATTGTGTGACCTTTTTACCACAAGTTAATCTTGAAGTCAATCCTAGAGGACTGATACCTAACCATATTTGGCAGATGGACGTCACACACTTGCCACAATTTGGAAAATTAAAATATTTGCATGTTACAGTTGATACTTCTTCCGGATTTTTGATGGGCTCCCTTCATTCTGGAGAAAAAACTAAAGATGTTATAGCTCATTGCTTACAAAATTTTGCCACTGTGGGCGTTCCAAAACAGTTAAAAACAGATAATGGTCCTGGTTATACTTCTACCTCTTTTAAACAATTTTGCTCATCATTTGGCATTACTCATATAACAGGAATTCCATACAATCCACAGGGACAAGGCATAGTTGAAAGAGCTCATCAAACTATTAAAATGTACTTACTAAAGCAAAAAGAGGGAATTGGAAAGGGGTATATGTCACCCAAAGATAAACTTAAAATAACCCTTTTTACTCTAAACTTTTTAAATTTGGATTCCTCAGGGCTTAGTGCTGCGGAAAGGCATATGTGTCCAAAAAATGTACATAAGCCTAAGGTACTTTGGAAGGATATTCTAACAGGACAATGGAAAGGTCCTGACCCAGTGATTGTCTGGAGTCGGGGTTCTGTTTGTGTTTTTCCACAGGGAGAACAGCAGCCGATTTGGATTCCAGAGAGATTAACTAAAACAATTTCTACAGGCCAAAAGGAAGATGATTTGACTCAAATCCATAACAGCTGATATCCAGAACTCCAGTTTGGCTATTCTTACATCTGCGACAGTGATTAACCAGGATGCTTTTTTCAATATTTTATTATTTGCCTTTTCCCACATCATAAAGTTCTATTTTATTTTTGAGCTCATACAGACCTAGGTTAATGTTTTTCTGATCAGTTTTATTTTTTGACTGTGGAGTTTTTAAGCATTGCAATGGAGATTTCACCTAGGTAAAGCTACAAGGCCTTTACTATTGTCTTATGTGTTGTATGTTATGTGTGCACACTTCTGTTTTGTGTTGTATGTCTGTATGTGCGTATGTCCATATATCATATATGAGGAGCGCTCATGAATAAATGGATCCGAATTTTTTTATTCACGTGATTTTAATGGTTTAATTTAGATTGGGTAAACAGCTGTTGAAAATTGTTTTAATATGTGAACAAATAAGGAGGTTAACAGATCTGTTTGTTTACTTTCACCTTTCCTTCTCATTATATTTAATAATTCTGTTCAGGATAATGTAAATTGTTCAAAAAATTGTTTTCTTAGTGCCTGTTGGAATGTTACATAATTTTTTTCTTAGCATCATTGCCAGAATTCCTATCTTCATCCCAGTGCCGGTGAAGACAAAGATAAAACCAAACTACAGCTTCTTCGATAGTTATCACAACAAACTGTAAAAACTGATGCATCAATGAATAATAACTCAACAAGTAATGCTCAATTAAGGAGTTGATTTACTTTGGGAGGAAACGGACATATTGACAGATTCCTCTGCTTTGAATTGCTTGCAGACCTTGCCTGGACTATGTATCACTTGTATGCATTGTGAACTATCTGTTGGTACAGCGAATTGTGGTAGTGCTGGAGTATTTTTGCTGATGGTGTCACCGGTGGTACAATTTTTCAAAGGAGCCCTCAATTGGCTTAGTGTCATGGCATTTTGCATCCTCCTCCCTTCTACTAGTGATGGTCTAAAATTTGGGGGCCAACAGAGGTGAGGCAAAGAACCTCACCCCCCCACTGGTGCAAAGGCCTATCCACAAGTATGGCTGTATGCTGGACCGGTAGTCAGTGATGGGTATGATCCAATTGCAGTGGTACCAACCTAAGACAGGAGGCTGACGCCTAGAGGTCAGTTCATCCGATGACGGGTAAGGACCATATGTTGAACTGGACTGCCTAACAGGCACGGTCCCTAAGCCACATTGCTTGTTGTTTAATTAAACAAAAAGGGGGAGATGCTGAGAGCCACGGCCGAGTCTGTATGGCCCCTGGCATTTTGCCAACAGTATTGATTGACAGGCGAGGCATTACTATCCGCCTCTGCCGCAACTTTTGAGTTCTCGCACTATTTTGGAGTTCTCGTGGGGATTTCTGGGGATTCCCCGAGAGTTCCCATTGGTTGGGGAAGTGCAGGAGGAGGAATTTCCGGGAGAGATATTTCCGGCTGGGGGTTGCTGGACAAGCCTCCTGGCGCGTTCGGGAGGATTCCCCGGGAGCTGTGTGAAGTGTTTTCCTGCAGTTTAAAAATAAAGTTTGTTCCTGCTTCAGTGGCTCGTGATTTGTGCCCAGCCAGACTGCGGCAGCTTACATGTATAAGGTTTCTTGGCACTGTTATTTTACTCATGTGTTTTTAAAAAATATTTTTTAGATGTTGGTGGACCTTTATTTTATTCATTTATTTATATGTGGTGCTAAGAATCAAACCCCAGTGCCTCACACTTGCTAGGAAAGTGCTCCACCACTGAGCCGCAACTCCAGCCACTCATTCATGAGTTTTGGTATGGCTATAAGAAGTAAAGCCTTTTCCACATTGCTTATATACATAGGGTTTTTCTCCAGTGTTCTTGAGACTTTTCATGTTTTCTGATTGAACCGTAATAACTGAAAGCTTTCCCACATTGTTTACATGTATAGGGTTTCTCTCCACTGTGAATTCGTTCATGTATTCTAATTGAATTGCAAGAACTAAAGCCTTTTCCACATTTCTTGCATACATAGGGTTTCTCTCCACTATGAATTCGTTCATGTGTTTTAAAATTGGTAGAAGAACTAAAGCCTCTTCCACACTGCTTACATACATAGGGTTTTTCTCCAGTGTGAGTTTTTTCATGTCTTCTGATTGCTTTGGAATGCCTGAAAGCTTTCCCACATTGTTTACATGTATAGGGTTTCTCTTCACTGTGATTTCGTTCATGGATTTTCAAGTACTTAGAAGTACTAAAGCCTTTTCCACATTTCTTGCATACATGAGATTTCTCTCCACTGTGAATTAGTACATGTCTTTTCATGTATCTAGAAGTACTAAAGCCTTTCCCACATTGTTTACATGTGTAGGGTTTCACTCCATTGTGAATTTGTTCATGTCTTTTCATATATCTGTAAGTACTAAAGCCTTTTCCACATTGCTTACACACATAGCGTTTCTCTTCACTGTGAATTTGTTCATGTGTTTCCATTTGGCTAGAAGAACTAAAGCTTTTTCCACATTGCTTACACACATAAGGTTTCTCTGCACTGTGAATTTGCTCATGGATTTTAATGTAGCTGGAAGAACTAAAGGCTTTTCCACAGTGCTTACACACATGGGGTTTCTTTCCACTGTGAATTTGTTCATGCCTTTTCATGTCACCAGAAGAACTAAAGCCTTTTCCACATTGCTTACACACATAAGGTCTCTCTCCACTGTGAATTCGTTCATGGATTTTAATGTAGCTGGAAGAACTGAAGGTTTTTCCACAGTGCTTACACACATGGGGTTTCTCTGCTGTGTGAGTTCTTTCATGCTTCTGGAAACGTTGGGAATCATGCAAGGCTTTCCCATCTTCCTTATATTCATATGGCTTCTCTCCATGTTCCTGATACTCATGTGCTTTGTGTCCAGTGTGAGCTATCAGGGGCACGGTTAGGGATGAATCAGCAATGGTGACTTCTCCACACACATGGTGTTCACTAGGTTTTACTCCAGAACTTCTCTTGTTAACAAGAGAATCTATTATGTGGCTGAGGATTTCTCCACATTGACCATCTTCTTTCTGTTCACAGAGTCTCTCTAACACTTGACTTCTGCAAAGAATGAAAAGCACATTACTAAGTATTTGTAATATTAATGATTTAGCAGAAGAATTGGTTTTATGTTGTGTAAGCTTTACTGTTGAGCTACCTTCCAGTCCTTTTAAAGTTTTCTTTTTTTTTTTTTTTGATAGCATCTTAGTAAGTTGCTTGGAGCCTCACTACAGTGCTGAGGCTGGCCTCCCACTTGTGATCCTTCTCCCTCAGACTCCCTAGTGGCTGGGATTAGAGGTGTGCATCACTACCCAGATCAGCTTTCTAAATAATCCTGCCAAGTTACAATTTTGTTAACTCTGAAGATGCTTACACTTGTAAATACAATTGAGTACTGCTTATGTGAAATGCGTGGGAAAAAATTCAGATTGGATTTTGTGATATTTGTGTATACACAGTAAAATATCTTCAAAATGAGTCCCACTTGAAGGTAATTTCATACATTTTTAATAAACTGTGTATGGAAAACAGTCTGTATATAATAAACTACCAGAAAGTGTCACTTAAGACATCAAGGCACTGTTTCATTTGGGTTTTGCGCTCTCCAATTATGCATGTTCAACCTGTATGCACTGAAGTGAACAAATGGAGATAAATCATTCTGTACCTTGGGGTGTATCTTTTCCTTATTTTTATGATTTTTTTAATAAGTTACTCCCAGATTTGTGAGGAACATTGCCTTCTCTTGTGAGTTAAATTACCTTAGATTTCCCCTGGAATTGTAGTGATCATCAATGGCCTGATTTTTCCATTGTTTTCCTAAAATACAGACCCAGAAAAATCATTATGATTCATTTCAAAATTATATAAAAACTGTAAGAGTGTGGCAGATCTGTTGTATAATGTCACCATGCCATTACAGTCATCAAAATGTGGGCTTCGAATATTCCAAATCATGGAACAGCACTGATAACTGAACAACAGTTCTCTGATTGACTAAGTGAGAAAAGTATGTCAAATGTCACCCTTACCTATAGTGATCAGGTTCCAGAAGGTTTCCTGCATCACATCTTTGAAGAGCTTCTTCTGGGAAGGATCCAGCAGAGCCCACTCCTCCAGGGTGAAGTTCACAGCCACATCCTTAAAGGTCACTGGCTCCTGAAATATCCCACAGGTATTCCCAGGAGGAAAATGAGACACACAGCACTAGAGACCTCATTCACTTGAGAGAATTTCACATCATACTATGTCCTCCCAGGGAGAACAGGAACACTTGCGGTACTGCTAGGTCTCTCCAATTCTCTTTCTACACAGGTCTTAAGCACTTCCCACAACAAAGTCCAACTATATACAGTGCTTAGTAACAATAGCTGTCCTGAGACAGCACATTCTTAGGAATGCTTGATAATATACTTTGAACTTTGTTGGTATCTAGCAATTACTGCCGGGATGAACCTCACCAGCTTAACTGCAAGGAAGGGCTTGGGGTTCCCAAGCAGGTTATCCCAACAAAATGCAGCCTGTTTAAATCCTGCTGGTCCTCTAACTGGAATAGTTTGACATGCTTGTCAGAAGTTGCCTATCTCAGGCTGTGGCTGTGGCTCAGTGGTAGAATGCTTGCCTTGCACACATGAGGCACAGTATTTGAGTCTCAGCACCACCTAAAAATAAATAAATAAATAAATAAAAATATCGTATCCATCTACAGCTAAAAAATATTTTTAAAAAGAGAAGAAGTGGCCTATCTCATCAACGCCCAAAATACACTAAGAGTGATGAATCTCCAATGAACTGGACTATCAGACCAAATTTGAAACCTCTTTTGCAAAACATTAGAGAATTTAGCACATACTTTGGGATTGCACTAAGGGCCCACAACCAGAAGCCTGTACCAGGTTCCTGTAAGTCGTTAGAATTAAATAGTCAATAAGATTCATTAGGGATAACTCAGTAGACTAATAGGTAATCAATAAAAATTTGATGGAGAATGTCAAAGCACAGTAAAACAAGTGGAAAGTGGTATGTGTTCTTAGAAAGATTTTACTTCACCAAGATGTCACCTATACATTGACCTATAAAATTGCAAAATGTCAATAACAAAAGCTTTTCCTAAGAAAACAAAAAATTGTTCTTGCCTGCTCCATTGGCACATGCATATAATCCCAGCAACTTGGACTTAGCAAGACCCTGTCTCAAAAATAATAAAGAAATAAAGAAAATTAATAAGTTTTTAAAAACAGGAAGGGATATGGCTGAGTGATTTAGGGCTTCTGGCATCATCCCCCAAACCAAAAATTTAAAAAAAAAAAATTGAAAAAGGAAAAAACAACAGAGGAAAAAACTTAGCTCATCAAATCCTCTAGGCATATTTAATGTCTAACAATCAAGGAATAATAAAGAGCCAGACACACTGGTGCATGCCTATAATCCCGGCGATTAGGGAGGCTGAGGCAAGAGGATGGCAAATTCAAAGCCAGCTTCAGCAACTTGGCAAGGCTTTAAGCTACTGAGCTGGGGATGTGGCTTAGTGGTTTAACGCCCCTGGGTTCACTCCCTGGCAGTGGCATCATCATCATCATCATAGTAATAAAAAAAAGGGAAACAGGACTCATTAATTGAAAAAAAAGAGAGAGAGAGAGAGAGAGAAAAGCCACTTCTGAGAAACCTCAGAATTTGAATTCAGTCAACAAAGACATTCACTGGGCAAGTGATACACTCCTGTAATCCCACTGAGTCAGTAGGCTAAGGCAGAAGGATCACAAGTTCAAGGCCAGCCTTGGCAATGCACCAAGACCCTAACTCTAAACAAAAAATTAAAAAGGGTGGGATCTAACTGTGATAAAGATTCAATCTTCAGTATCTCCAAACAAAAAAGCAAGGAACCAACCAACCAAACAAACAAAAACCCATAGAGTAATTTGCAATTATAACAAGTCACATGAAGCCATCACTATAGGTGTTCCATGACATAATGAAGCAAGGAGAACAAAGAATCATCTAAGATGAAGTCAGAGACTGTTTCACCAGTGTATCTCCTTGTCATGCCTTTTGGAAAGTTCTTTAGAGAGAAGCAAAAAGATGTAGGAAAAGGGATCACATAAAGTAAAACAGAAATTAGTTACAAATATGGTGTATATTAATCCCATTGTATCAATAATCCTTTTAAATACAGACAGACTGGTAGAAAACAAGATCCACCCTGTGCTCCACCCTTGTGCACTTTATGAGAAAAAAAAACAAAAACAAAAAAAACAGTTTTAACTATCAAGACATCAGGTCGGAGTCAAAACATTTCTTATATATGAGAAATAAATTCAAGAAATCTAGTACTGTGAGAAATCATTAGAGAAGTATGTTTAAAGTGCCCTCATTCCAAACACACACAAAATATATGTAAAGCAATGTATTTGGTAATCAGATCAGTTCAGCCATTCAGCAACGACTAAGGGATGTGGATATAGTTTAGGTGGTAAAGTGCTTGCCTCACATGTACAAGTACCTGGGTTCAATCCCCAGCATCACAAACAAACAAACAATAGCATATGAATAGAAAGAAAGAACACCAAAGAAATTTTAGTATTTCAAATTATGTGAACTTGAACAAACATGCTAATATTACTTATGGGATACAGAAAAAGCAGTGCGTAGGGAGAACTTTAGAACAATAAATGTGTATATTAGAAAAGAAGAAAGACCTCAGCTCAACAGTGTAATGTATTACATTGGATAACCTGCAAAACAAGAGCAAGATACTCTTAAGCCACAGAAAAAGAACTTGGAAGAAGTCAAACAATTTCTGGAAAGAATCCAGAAAAACTCACATGAGAAAAGATAAACAATATAAATAAGGCTCTATGTATTCCACAAATTGAAACAATAGAAACTCAAAAACAGGGAGAACCAGGCCCACCTTGTCTTTTGGGCATATTCTAACATTTAAGCATATCAATCGGGGCTGGGGATGTGGCTCAAGCGGTAGGGCGCTCGCCTGGCATGCGTGCGGCCCAGGTTCAAACCTCAGCACCACATACAAACAAAGATGTTGTGTCCGCCGAAAACTAAAAAATAAAAAATATTAAAAAAAAAAAAAAAAGCATATCAAGCATTACAATGTCTTCCGGGTAAGGGATGCAGAACTACTACTTCATAATGCATGAGGTCCACAGTGCCAAAATATAAAACTAGATAAACATTATAAGAAATAACAAAAATAAATTAATAAAGGAAAGGAGTGTAGCTCAGTGAGAGTGTCCTGAGTTTCAATCCCATTACAGATTAGAGGGAGAGAAGACAAACTGCTTCTAAAATACAGGTGAAAAGATACTGAAGAGAGCTTAGCTCAGTGGTACAGTACCTGCCTAGCCTAGAATTTAAGAATGACTAAACATTTAATATTTATTTATTTATTTATTTATTTATTTTTTTCAGAGTAGAAATTAGAAGTTTATTAAAGGACAGCAGAAAAGACTTCTCCCGGAGGAAGAAGGGGACCCAAGAGGTGGAATCCCTAATATTTATTTTTTAGTTTGTTTTTTTTTTTCCGGTGGAGACAACATCTTTGTTTGTATGTGGTGCTGAGGATCGACCCCGGGCTGCACGAATGCCAGGCGAGCGCGCTACCGCTTGAGCCACAACCCCAGCCCATGACTAAACATTTAAAAGTCAACTCATGTAATTGATCACCTCAACCAGCTAAACAAAAAAAATCCTATGGTCATATCAATAGGTACAGAGAAAGCATAAGAAATAATAACAATAGGCATTCAGACTGAGAAGAAACAAATAAAAAATGACTTCACACATGCCACCTCCCACCCTGAAAACTCTTCCATAAATATGCAAATACTCGTCATTTTTCTATATATATCAAGTATAAAAAAAAAATCAACTTCAAATTTAAAACACTATTTATACAGAACAAGAATTTGGACAAAGAGAGAAACAATTTCACCAAAATAAAGGAACACCAAAAAAAAAAAAAAAAAGATCAAGGCCAGAGGTAATCAATAAAAGCAAGCTATATCTTAGTGGCTCATGAGGCTGAGGCAGGAGGATCTCAAGTTCAAAGCCAACCTCAGCAACTTAGTGAGACCCTGTCTCAAAATAAAAATGAACAAGGCTGGGGATGTAACTCAGTGGTGGAGCACCCCTGGGTTCAATCCCTAATACAAAAAAAAAAAAAAAGAAAGAAGAAGAAGAAGAAGGTTTGTTGCTGGGGATATGGCTCAGTGCTTAAGGACCCTGGGTTCAATGACAGTATCAAAACAAACAAACAACAACCAGGTAACAAAGAAGGCTGACAGCAGGGTAAACTCTTCTCAGATGTATAATTAGGTTGCCACCCTCCATCCTCCCATAATCTACAGAAGCAGGCCAGAGACCTCCCACCATGAAAACCCTTACCATAATTAAGCAGAAACCCCCACCATATACATAACATATGAGTTCCTATTCTTCTCAGAAAGCTTTTTACGCAGGATGTCAGCAAAAACAAAACAACAACAAAAACAACCACTAAAAAAAACAAAAACAAAAAACTTCTGCATAGCAGCATAGAGCACTGTGGTGGTAGTTTCCTCTTTTTGGAAATTGTAGGTTTGCAAATGAAAAACAAAAACAAATTTGTGAAACCTCTAGTCTCAAAAAATGGAACAAAAAGCACTTGTCCTGTAAACCTTCAAACCCCTCCTCTCAGAGGGACAAAGTCAAGAACTCCAGACTCTGCCGCCCACAGAATGCTTTAGGCAACGGCCTCTCTGGGCCCCGCAGTCAATAAACCTGCTTCCCGAAAATTCCTACGAATTCCAGGTGCCCAACCTCTCCTGTCCCCCATCACTAGCGCCTTCTTGGCATCCCGCTTGCTCCTCTCCTCAAAGAAAAGTCCTTTCTGCCAACCACTGAGGGGTCTGCAGACTTCACAGCTGGGCTTCCCTGCTTTGCGGTTCTCGTAAATGCAGCGGTGCCTTCCTCGATCCGCATTTTCTAAACCAATGTCCAGCGGGCGCTGATTTCCAGTAGGGGGCCCTGGCAGAAGGGTCTACAGATCTGTCCGCCTCCTGCGCCCACAAGCCCCGGGGCTGAGGGGCAGTCGCGGATTTGGGAACCGGCTTCCCCAGGTTTGCAGACTTCGGAGTAACCAGGGGACCCCGAGGAGCAGGGGGGCTGGGACGCGCACACCTCCCTCCCAGTCCCCGCCTCGCCCGTGGCGGGAGTCTCCCCGCGACCCTCCCGCCGCCACCGCAGAGGGGGAGACGCGGGGCTGGGCGGCCGCGCTGCCCACAGACCGCTCCGGCCGGCAAAGCGCCGCGCAGGACCCGGCGCCCGGCCGGACTCTGACCGCAGTCTCCGCAGCTGCCGCCGGAGGCCCCGGTCCCTCCACAGCGACTCACCCGTCCCCTTCACCGCGACCCGCTCCCCTTGCGGGAAGGGCGCCATCCACACTCACCATTCCCCGCCTTCTAGGGTTCCCGGGGTCGCCTCAGCCTGTAGAACGGAGATGTCACAGAGAGGAGGCTGAGACGCTTAGAATCTCTCCTCACAGGACGCGCGAGGCACACTACGGCGTCCCAGGAAGAAAGCTGTTCAAAAGAGGAAGGTTCCCGCCCTCTTCCAACTGCGCTCCTGATTGGACAGTTCCTGCACCCCCCCCGTGTCTCTGATTGGCTAGTGATCCAGGCCCCGCCCCTGAACCCTGAGTGACAGCAGGATAGAACCTCTACCTGGCTGAATGGAACATGAGAGGCGGTTTCTATCTACAGCCCTTCCCAGCCCCAGCAACTTCCCAGGGCCTGGACCTGATCTAACGTGAGGGATTATTGCATGTATCCATTTAGGACCAACCTCCCAGGTCTGGGAACACCTATAAAAACTAAATATAGTATATGATATGTAATATAGTTTTATAAAAGACCATTTATTATTTATTATTTTTTAATATTTATTTTTTAATTATAGGCGGGCACAATATCTTTATTTTATTAATTTATTTGTATGTGGTGCTGAGGGTCGAACCCAGTGCCTCATGCATACTAGGCCAGCGCTCTACCACTGAGCCCCAGCCCCAGCCGTAAAAGGCCATTTTAAATATAACCAATAAGAGATATTAATATTCTTAACTATATTAATTGTTATAATATATAATTAAATGAAATTCATTGCAGAATTGAAAAATCTGGATTTCATTACTTAAGCAAAATTCGATCCTGGCCTTTCAGAACTGGTGTTGTCATCTCACTGTAATCAGTGGGCTCTTTCTGTTGCTGCCCCCTAATTGAGGGAACCAGTGAATGTACTTAGGCAATTCCAGAGGCAATGTCCACGAGATAACATCCCACCTCAGGAAACGACATCTTGTCAAACATGGTGGCACACGCCTGGAGTCCCTGCAGCTCTGGAGGCTGAGGTGGGGGGATTGCAAGTTCAAGCCAGCCTCAGCAATTTAGCAAAAACCAATCTCAAAATAAAAACAGAAAAAAAAAGAAAAGAAAAAGGGCTGGGAAGTGGCTCAGTGGTTAAGCACCCCAGGGTTCAATTTGGTACCAAAAAAGAAAAGGACATCTACCCAGACTGCCAGTGAAGCCAGAATCAGACAGGTAGTCAGCATAGATAGGTAAGTTGAGTCAGGTCAGATCAAGGAGGCCAATTTTGAGTGAGTGAGGCAAGTTGGAGACTATCCCCTGAGGGATTGAAATGTTAATTCCTTCAGAGCCCTTCCTCCACCCTTATCAAGAACCACCCCCTGCTCTAAGGTAACCTGTCCCAGGAATTGCCCCTCCCTACAGGGAGCTATAAGATTGTTAATCAATGTGTCCTGGGCTGCTTCATCCTGCCCTTCCCCCTTCAGCCCACACTTTCCCACCTTTGGTCCATCCCACTGAGCATTCCTGGGCCTAGTCCTGGGCTAGTCACATATGCAGGAAGGAGAAATATAAGGGGATAAAGGCAGGAGAACAAAAGAAGCCTAGGACATAGAAAAAGGGCAGAACACCTTGCTTCTGGAGATACCAGGATACCAGCTACAGCCCCCTTCTTTCTCCTGGGAGAAGTCTATGTTACCCCTTTTTAAATAAACCCTGCTTTGTATGCTTGCCTCTCGGCATGCTTCTCTAATGTTCAGACTTCAACATTTGAGGCAGCAGAACTTGTCACAGGTAACTGGCAGTATTAGCAGGACATAATGGAACAGAAGGGAGTGAGGCAGTGCCCTGTATTGTCAGAGATCTGACATTTGGGATGAGACAGCTGGCTTCACAGCCAAGGCTTTCTTACGCCTTTGCTGTCTATCTACCCTACCTACATACCCACAGGGGAGTACAGTTCAGGGGGCAATGAAGCTATATGGAAGCAACGTTCTACTAAAGAATCAAGAGGGAATAAAAGGAAACATTTGAACTCAGAAACCAGCCTGCTCCACATGTAGGAAAAGCTTAGATTCAGAAGATTAAACATATTCCCAAGCTCGAGGGCCACAATGACATCTTGCTGAATCCAAGTTTTCAAAATGGGACACTCCTGGGTGCTGAGGCAGATTGCATAAGGATTTCATGGTGGAAGTCACCATGCCCAACTGTCCCCTCCTTATGGTGTGCAAACTCTCCATCCTTCAAAACCTGAACATTCACCATAAACACTCTCATGTTGACTCTCTTTTATCACCCTTTCTTAGGAGATCTTTAAATCTTCTTTCTCTAATCCTGTTCCTTATATATTTCCTTCCCATGGACAAATTACAGATCAACTCCAGTAGGCTACACATCCCAGATCACTGTCTCCAATATAGCCGCAGAGAAACAGATGAACCCAGCCTAATTCCATCTTAAGATTTGGAGCCATCTTGTCACAAAGTCATGAAAAGTTAATCTCTGTTTTTCTATAAATTACTGAGATTTCTAAACTTCTTTGGAATTCCTGCCCATGCCTTAAACTCAGTTCCTATCCCCAAAGCCAGTTAATGCCAATTTAATAATGAGGACATGGTTTTGAGAAAACAGTTACAAATTTTGACACCCCAGGTGGGACTCCAGAGCAGCCCCCCCTCCTCGCTCCTCTTTCTTGGGGAAACCTAGCACTCCAAGCAACTGCACTTTGATACCTAGGATGTAAGATGAACTTTTTGAGAGCTGACTACTGGAAAGTTAGGAGACAGGCGAGTGTGCTTGGGGTCAGACAGAACCAGAACCAGAGGAGCTGTGCCACTTCCAGCAGCTGCCAAAGCCCCTTTTGCTTCAGCAAACTCCCCCCCCCCCACACCCCACACTGTAAGGATTGCTCCATCTCTATCTTCCTAAAAAAAGAAAAGAAAACTTAATGCAGTAAAGTTGCCACACCAAGACCCTTCATTTTACACTTCTGGTTCCCCTTTGTGGGAACATCTGGTCAATTCATGGGGACATTTGTGGTGCCACCTGTGTAGGAGTCATGGTTAAGTGTTAGTTGGGAACTTGAGGAGATTTTCCCCCTATCTGGTCTGTCTGTTTTAAAGGTTTCTGCCTGTGTTGGCCATAGTTTGGAGCTCCTCTCTTCCTGTCTGTCATTGTGTCTTTGTTTGTATCTGTTTCTGGCCCTTTAAGAAATGGGTTGATATTATAGATTGTTTCCTGGAAATAATCTTGGCTGAATGGGCCACCTATAGATGTAAATGTGTCTAAAAAGACGATGTTTTACTGTAACAATCTGGTATTTGAATGTTTTTTTGAAGCATTGTACAATCTTGCAGTTAAAAGTTGATTTGTCAGAGATAAAATAATCAATAAGGAGTCTTTTTTTTAAAATTTTAAAATATTTATTTATTTATCTTTTTTTTTAGTTATCGGTGGACACCACATCTTTGTTTGTATGTGGTGCTGAGGATCGAACCTGGGCCGCACGCATGCCAGGCGAGCGCGCTACCGCTTGAGCCACATCCCCAGCCCCCATGGAGGTAAACTTAGCCAAACTTTTTCCTTCAATGCCCCAGGTATGCTTCTCCTGCATCTCTGTAAGGAGCCAGAAGTCAATTTCCCCTAGAATACAAGCACCAGCTTTTCTGTTCTCTCCTCTTACCTTAGAACTCTTAGAAATACCTGAACAGCCAAAAGGTTTACTCCCCCTGAGTTATGAACAGACTTTGGAGCAAGATTTAACCTGTTTGTCACTGAGAGAGGAAGACTAACCCTAGGAATGGCAAGGAAATGCCAAGGACCTGTTCAACAGCAAATGGCTTATCTCAGGAATGAGCTTAACATTGTAGCTTTGTTCTCAAAGGTAATAGAAAGTAAGGTACCATGATTTTAGACATCCAAACCTGTCCAATTACCAACTAGAAAAAATAGTTAAAACACCTTAGGCATGAGATGTTTTCCCCAGACCTCAGCCAGGGCTTACATTGAAGTGCAAATGGAAGAAGCCTGCAAGCTCAGTAGGAGACTAATATGAGGCCCAAGGGGGAGAAAAAAAAAAGTAAAAGTCATTTTTGCTAGGACTCTTGCTTTTTCTTAGATTCTGTGTTTTTTTTTTTTTTTTTTAGATCATGATTTTGACCCTACAGACCTAGGTTAATGTTTTTCCTATCAGTCCTATTTTTTATTCAACTATGGAGATTTTATTTTATTTTATTTATTTATTTAGGTGCTGGGGATTGGATCCAGGGCCTTGGGCTTGAGAGACAAGCACTCTTCCAACTGAGCTGAACCCCCAGCCCCTAACTATGGAGTTTTTAAACATTGCAACAGAAAAGCTACAAGGCGAAAAGCTACAAGGCCTTTACTATTGTGTTATGTATGCACACTTGTGTTATGTGTTGTATGCCTATATGTGGGTATATATCATGTACATAACATGAAAATTGGCAGTTAAATAAGGAACACTCATAAAATTTTTTAAAAATGGATTCAAATATCTTTAATTCACATGATTTAAAACGGTTCAGTTTAAATTGGGTCAACAGATGAAAGAAAGATGTCTTTAAAATTAAACTTAACTCACAAGTCTCTCTAGGTGGGCAAAGAACTAATTAAATGTTGATGCCTATAAAATGTCTAATTTCCCTTGGTTATAGGACTTTTCTTCAACAAGGAAGAAATGGCTAATACTGTTCAATATACTTATCTGATATTTTGGTAAAATAAATAAAGTAGATTTGACATGGGATTACTCATATTTCTGAGTAATTTTGTTTGTTAGACATCTGATTAATTTACAAGGTTAAAATGCTGTTAAATATACTATCAAGTACTCTTAACTTCTTAAATTCCTTTGGGTAATATTATTAATGTTTTTATAAATTGGTAAATGAAGAAAAATAGGGTTTAAAGTTGCTTTGTCATCACTAAAAAAGGTTTTACTAAAGATTTAAAGTCCCAACAGGTATAATTCTATATACTTAAACATTGTGTTTTCATGAAATGATAAACAGATGTGATTCTAGATACAAAGGTTTATAGAAGATTTCTATATACAAAGGCTCAAAAGTTTCCAACTGTTCCAATTAAGAGTACTATAAGTAACATAAAATATTTCTTTTTATTAAAATGAAATAATTTGCCTAAATTCAGAAATTTACAAGGATTGTTTCAAAATGTGAACA